ATTCTGAACTTTTGTTACACAGCAAAACTTATAAGTTAACTAAAAAACATATTGCCATCTTGTTGGCAAAATCCATAATTTTTATATAAAGAAAAAACATTTGTTACTCTGCAAAAAAATGCAATATTGATGGCATTCCTATTTTGATGAATAACACCCTTCTTACTTTCAGGCAAAGTTTGAAAGCACATTGTAAATGTGGATTTAAGAATTTGTGTGAGAGTAACAATTATACATCCTTTATCTGGCAAGCTTGAGCAACCCTCTCATTGTTGTAAGGTTGCATATCTTTTTTTTTTTGTACAAATACAATCATGGTCTATGCTCAAACAAGCAAATATCTCTAATACTGTAAACCAAAACTCATTCTTTTTAGGCTTTTTATTCAACAAGTTCCATCCTTTTACTATATCTATACCTTTCTTCTTAAAAAACCTATTATTATTTAGTTTTTTTCCTTGAACATAAAAAAATCTTAATAGTTTTACCCTACTTCATGTTTTCCTGTTTTATAAAACTGAAAACTTTTTAAGTCTTCAGTTTTAAGTTTCCTAGTATTTTAACTTATTCTCTATTTTAAAGTAACTCATAGCTTAATAGTGGTTTCTTGCAATCCTGTTTGAAATATATTAGAGTTTAAAAGTTGTTATATATTAAGTATTATAAGTTTTTTTCTTGACCCGCCTATGAACCATTGCTAAAGCTTATAATTTTGCTGGAACTGGGTTTCCAAAAACTCTAATTTTTAGCTGGGGCAGGGGCTCCTGTCACTTACTATTTGTGTGACATAAGTAAGACCTGGTAGTACTCATTTCAGCATATATTTTTTTTATTTGGCTTTTTTAAGCTGTATCAATAGGTGTGTAATCACATCCCTATTGATACAGCTTAAAAAAGCCAAATAATTTAGAGTTATTTAATTGTTTTATGTAAAACATTGATATTATTGTTTAAACTAAATTTTTTTTAATCGCTTTTTGTTTGTTTTATATCCAATTTTATTTATTACCAACTTATTTATTTGTTGTTTTGTCAACGTTTATTTTTCTAACATTTATCAGCAATTATGTATATTTCTTTTCCTATTTACAAATTATTGATTTAAAGTTTGGGAATCTTTTATAAGTAAAGTGTGATGCTATACTATTATGGTGATGGTCACATGTTTCAATCTTTATCAGATTTCAAGCCTTTTTTGTTGTACTGAATTTGTTTCTATCATTTAATAAAATAGGTCTTTTCATGTACTTGAGGTTTTTAAAAAAAAAGGAATTTAAACTCTATGCTTTGCGCTTGTTAACTCCAACTTAAAATAGTATACTTTCCGTTATAGACAATAGTATATAGATGACAAGCTCATGTCTTTGTAAATACTGTATATAAAAAGTTTTTTTTTTTTTTTTTTTTTTAAGAAGTGTTTTTTTAGAAAAATTTGCACATTTCAAAATTGTCATATGTTTCATAGTTTTTATAGTTTATTATTTATTATATTATCAAACTGGTCAAACATTGTTTAACCTAAATTTTTAGCCTAAATGTTATACAAATAATTCAATTATGTTTTAGATTTGTGTACGCTGCTTGCATGTCCAGACAACAGTCAATGCGTGATAACTCTAAAAAAAACTGCAATATGTGTATGTGGATGCGGTTATTATTTATTTGAAGGATTATGCCGTAAGTCATAAAAAAATGCATTCAATTAGTTATTTTATAAATAATGTGTATTTGACGCAGCTTTATTATCTGTATTTTTATTAGAGTTGATTATACTTTAGCGGTTAAACTTCATAATATCTTTAAATTATTTACAAGCTTTTTATTTTAACTAAATAAAAATTTTTTGTTGTCTTTGAGTTAGTAAGCGTTTACATATTTGTTAGGTAATAGTTTACATATTTAAATGGCATCGTTTTTTCATATTTATTTATTTATAACTTGTTAACAATTTGTTAAACAAAAATTTTATTTTTAAACTTTTAGATTTTGTAAAAACTATTCCGAAAAGACAAACACAGTAGACTCACGGTTGTTCAAACTGCCACTTATTTAAATTTTTCCCTTTTTGGAAACGTTTTGAAAAATTTTTATTTCCCATAAATTTTTCTTCGCAAACTCATCCAAATAACCACCAACTATTCGAAAGAAACTCCAAAACTCAACCATAGAATCAGGAAGTCATTAGACCATCAAAGGCACAATTTGTGCTAAAATGCACAAATTTTATTAAGCATCAAATCAAATATATTGATGCTGGAAAACGCACCCAAAGGTCAATTTTCTTAAAACTATGACCATGTTAGTCAGGTCATGTAATGCTCTATCAACAAGCACTGTAAAGAATTGTTTTAAAAGGACAAACATTTTGAAAGAAATATAAATTGCAAATATAAGTGGGGAAACTGATTATTTCAAATTGCTTGAAGAAAAGGTTATTGAGCTGTAATCACATTGTTTATTAAATAGAGAAAAAACTACTGACAATGATGTCAATATAGATTTTGAAATCTGTACAAATCAAAAGAGTCTAGATGCAATTTTTATCAAGAAAAACATTTAAGTACCTTTTTTCACATGCAATCTCTGATAGAATTATGAGAGGTTGCACATACAATAGAGGTACTTAAATGTTTTTCTCTTTTTCTTGACAATAATGGCGTCAAAATCTAACAAACATTAAGCCTAGTATTGAAGATGTTTGAAAAGCACTCTTTAGAAACAAAAATAAATTGCAAATAAAGGGTTTCTTCATAACTCGTTTTTTTTTTTAATAAAAGCGTTATGTAAGAAGGATGACTTTTTAAAAATTTGTAAAAAAATCACCATTTTACAAATTTCGATTATTCAAAGTTAGTTCTTTTTCCCCCAGAAGGTTCGAATAACCAGGAATTTACTGTACCATGCTGTAATTGGCTTCTTAACGTTTGCATGATGATTGTATGTGTTACTTGCTAAAGATTTATAACTCAATAATTATTTCAAAGAAATGCTCAAATATTTTGCTCTCAATTCAAATAACATTTCAATGAAAAGGTTGTTTTTAAGAGATGTTTTTTAAACGACAGTAACAATCTTGATTGAATCTCATATTAGTGTTATAACTATTTTGTTAAATGTAATCTTTGTTATTATTATTTATTCTCTGTTTTTTTTCTTTCTTTAAAAAAGTATTTACTATTTTAATGCTATACAGATAAAAAAAAAAACCATACTATATTCGTTATAGATAAAATCAAGCCTGATGCTATCGATTCTACTGGTAAGCTTAATTATTTATTTTTTTACTTAAAAAATAGGTCTTATCAGGCCCATATTTTTAAGAGGAATTTAAACTCCAGGCTTTACACTTTGGTTCTTTCAACTTGAAATAATATACTTTTTACAATAGAAAATGGAATTTTGATTACAAGCACATTTCTTAGTCTTTATTGTATATAAAACATTTTTTTTTTTTTCTGAAAATGTAATTAATATCTGGATTACTTTAATTTAATTTAGTAAACTAAGTATACATAAATATATATATACACATAACAAAATTAATATATTATATATATATATATATATATATATATATATATATATATATATATATATATATATATATATATATATTCATTTTTAATAGATAAACTAATTTTTTTAATTTTTTGTTTTTGTAAAAATTTTTCTAAATAATCAAATATCATGCTGTGATTTGCTTATCAACTGTTTCTTATCAAAATTTTCTTTGTTGGAAGGAGTTTAGTATTAGCCATTGTTTATGCAATTTTTGATTTTTCCTATTTACATGTTATCGATTAAAAGATTTGGTAAACTTTATAAGAAAAATGTGATAAGATATCATCACAATTGCAGAGCATCACATTTGTTAACAAAAGTGTGATGTCATGTCATAATGGTGATGGTTCCATTTTACAGTTTTTATCAGATAGCAAGCCTGCATTTTTTTATTATCTTGAAAATGATATATTTTTTTTGGAGTGTTTCTTTGTGTTGAGTAATTACATTACTTTTGACATCAGTAACAATACTAATAATTGAAATGAGTTAAAATCTTTTAATAAAATTTTTATCATCTGGTATTTAATAAGTGCCTATGTATTATTATGTTAGTATTTTAAATTGTTCAAGATTCTAAAGGTTTTATTACATAAATATGCGCTTACGATAAAATATATTCCCACCAAACATTGTTATAGTGGATTTGCACTGAGCCTATATAAGCATTTTTTTTTGCGGTTTATTGGAGTTTCGCTCATCGATCGATGAATCTTACAAATCTAAATAATATTTCTTATTAAGAACCTTAGTAAGATTAGTAAGGATTGCAAGACGTGCAAGAAAACTAATAAGATCTTATTAAGATTTGTAAGTTTACTTTCGATTTCTTTGTAAGATTTGTAAGATCTCATAAGATTGATTTGTAACTGTTCCGACCAGACTAAATTCCACTCATTTTTTTGCGTAGAGGTATAAAAATCTATTGTGAAAATATGAGTGCAATTAAGTAGGATTTGACTACAAAATAATCTTATAAGATTTTTTAAATGTATGGTCATTTAAGATCGCGTTGAAGTCTTGCGCAAGTAATTTGATATGTTGTATATTATAGGTATAACATAATGTTGAGATGAACACTATTACTTTATTTGTTAAAAAACTTTTTCGAGAAGAAAGTATATGAAGTATTTAATTGTTTTATTTATTAGCATATGCTAATAACAAAAACAATTTAGTATTTTAACTTGTTTGTTCTTAAAAAAATTTATTATTAAAATTATATTCGGTTTTCCTTTGATCAACTTTTTGTTAGCAAGTTTTTAGTTTCCAGTCCGCCGCAGAGTGCACAAAATTTATTTTCTTCGATTGTTTTTTTATGAACTGCTTGTTTTAGTTGCATCTTCTTCATCTAATTCTTTAAATGCCTTGTGCTAATTGTTCTATTTTTGGATGCAGTACTTCTAGGAGGCATAAGGGAGTTTCTATATTTAAAAATCTTGCATCTATCTATAGTTTTAATACTTCTTGAAGAAAAAATCTAATAGCCATTATTCTTAAAGATCGTATTCAAGATATAAATTTGAAGGCTCAAATAGAAAGTAAGAGTCTGTTTATTTGTGAAAAGCATTATGAAATCTGCATCTTCAATCATTGCTAAAAAAAACGCTTAATTAATTTTAAATATAATATTACTTTTAAACCTATATATAAATAATGCGAGGAGTTCCTAAATTGTATTAGCAAGTTAAAGATTTGTTACTGGACAGTGAGTGTGAGTCCTGTTGTGGCAGAATTGGAACTTTATGACACAATCCACTTATGTCCTCGATATGAAATATATGTTAAAAATAGTCTTGCTTTTACCATTCGTGTATATTCTTGGCTTATTCCAGATGATCATTTAATATATAAAAAGTATAAAAGATCAATGTGACATGTTTCAGCTTCAGATCTTAATTCTATTGATACAAAATTAGGATTTAATAAAAATATAATCAAAGAATTGAAAGATAAAGTTTAACATTTTTCAGCTCAAGAAAAGTTTATTTTCCTAGTTCTCAATGAAATTAAAATTCAAAAAAACCTTGTTTGGGACAAACATTCTGTAGAATTAATTGGCTATGTTGATTTGGGTGATCCTGTTGTTAATTTTGCAACATTACAGGCTGAAAAAACTTACTTCTTATGATTAGTTTTTTAATAAAAGTATTGTGAATCCTTTCAAATAGAGTTTTGCAAACTTTGCCACTATAAATATTACATCAGTGCAATGATTTTCTTTATTTTGGAAAGCTGTAGGCATTTTAGAAATCTCTGTTTGTTTAAAAGTAGTAGCAGTTACTTGTGATGGAGCATCATCGAATAGAAAATTTTTTAAAACACATTTTAATCTGACTGAGAAAGAAGATAATTATGGTTATGTAGATGTGACTTACCACACTGATAATTAATTTGCTGATGGTGACGATAATTTATATATTTCATTTCTGATGTCCCTCATTTAATCAAAACAGCAAGGAACAGCCTTTCTCATTCTGGAGCTGGTAAAAGCAATCGTTATATGTGGAGTTAGGGTCAACATATTTTATGGTCTCATATAACTGATTTGTTTTATGAAGATTTAAAATATCAATTGCATGCATGTCTAAAGCTAACCGTTGAGCACATCAAAATAACTCCATTTTCAGCTATGAATGTTCGCTTCGTTGCACAAGTTTTAAGTAATTCATGTAGTACTGCATTAGAAATCTATGCACCATCTGATACTGCTGGAACTGCACAGTTTTGCAATTATTTTAATTGTTTTTTTTATTGCTTAAATGTTCGTAATACAAATGATTACATATTACAACGCAATGATTACATATTAAAACGCAAATCATTTTTGAGACCATATTTTGATGCTAATAATATTCAATTTACATGGTTAAAAGAAAATTTTTTTAAATATCTTACTGATTTGATAAAATACTCTTTTCTACTATTCTCAACCTAGTTTATATTCAATTTACATGGTTAAAAGAAAATTTTTTTAAATATCTTACTGATTGATTGGAGACTGGGAACAAAAAACCCAAAGTTTTAGCTACTCCTGCCCCAAACGTGAGAGCATTATGTTGATAAAATACTCTTTTCTACTATTCTCAACCTAGTTTATATTCAATTTACATGGTTAAAAGAAAATTTTTTTAAATATCTTACTGATTGGCTTTTTTCTATTGAATCAAGACCTGGAAATTTTTCAAAAAGTGATAAAAGTAATATGTTTATTACTTGAAAAACCCATGAAGGTATAAAGATCACAGTTAATTCTGTTATTGAACTTGTCAAATTTTTAATTAATAACAATGTAAGTTATGTATTAACTGAAAGGTTTTTGTCAATCAACATATATTTCACCCAATTGCAGGTTACTGTCTGGATCTTAATGAATCAAACAAAATATCAATGAAGGAGAGTATGACATGTATACCACGCAGAAAATGGACTTAATCTGAAAAATTTGTTGATAAAAAAAGACTTTTCAAGTGTTTTAATAAAAATAAAAACTCTCTTACGTCTCCTTGTACCATTTGAGCTCAGAGTGGTCCTATATATATATATATATATATATAAAATCTCAAATAGATACAAGAGAGGACTATTTTTCTTCAAATATAAAATGTTTTTTAATACAAATTCTAAATGGTTTTTTGAGTGTTTGTTTCCTAGTTTTGTTGCTTTTAGACATAATTTTATTGAAAGTTTTAATTTTCAAGAGTTTAAGGATGGTAACATTTTTAAATAAATATTAAACACTAATTCCAAAAACTTATGCTATATTTATATCAAATAAGGATGCCTTGCAAAAATTTACAATTATTGGAGACTGGGAACAAAAAACCCAAAGTTTTAGCTACTCCTGCCCCAAACGTGAGAGCATTATGTTGATAAAATACTCTTTTCTACTATTCTCAACCTAGTTTATATTCATCAACAAATTTTAAAACTCACACAATAATCTTTTAGCATTCAACAATTATGGCCTTATATATATATATATATATATATATATATAAATATATATATATATATATATATATATATATATATATATATATATATATATATATATATATATATATATATATATATATATATATATATATATATATGTATATATATATATATGAAACTTGTGGCTATGAAAATAGCCGTTTTTGAATGTGATATTACACATCACATTCAGAAACAACTATTTATTCAAATCCAATTGATGTTTTTTTCATTTTTGAACGGAATGATTTTGACTTTGTTTGATTCTCTATAAGTTTGTGGATACTTAGTTTTTCTTTTGCATATGAAAAAGATCTCACTCTAACATAAAGTGTAACCAGATGATAAAACAAGTTTAATGACAGTTCTTTGGATACTTGATTTGTGCAAAGACTACGAAGTTCAGATATAATTGTCATATCAACACTGTCTTTTAAAATTTCTGCTACAATTAGTTCTGAAACAATGTTTTTTTACAAAACCATTACTCTGATGGCGAAAGAGAAGCTTAACTTTTGTAAAGATTTCTAAAACTGGAGAAACTTTCCATAAAGCACCTCGATTTTTAGCATTTACAAATTTTTGGTAAGACTCAATGGATGTTTTAATATTCTTAAAAAAATGTTCTATTTTACCAGCATTAAGAAGTGAAAGACAGTCTGTGCATAACTTTTGCTGCCATACCCGCAAACTGTGAACTCTGCAATAAAATGTACTGAA